AATTCCAAACTTTAAGCACCTGGAAATATGTAATTTTTCCAAAAATTATCCCTGAAAAAAATTGACCTAGAAGTTCAGGGTGGGCACAGGCCGACCCTGGGCCTTATTGGGCTCCGCCCCTACCTGTTTGGAGCCCATTTTATGGGGGAAAAACATGAATTTTTGTACAGTTGAACTCCAATTTCAACCACACCTTTTTGACTTTTATCTCACATTGGTGGGACCTACCTCACTATGTTAACGGTAAAAAATCTCACTTTTTGGACTAGAAAATGGGCTCCAAATAGGGGCTAAAATACTTTAAATATATTTAATTATATAGAGTGATTATTTAAATTAAAAATTAATTTAAAGAGTAGTAAAACATAATTTTAAAGGGAGGTTCACAGGGAGGAGAACGGAGAACCACTTCCGGAATGTCTGGTTCAAATGTGTATAAGCTATGACCGCATTCGAATTTATCAAGGTGACGAATTAGTGGGGAAGGTCGCCACGTGATTAGTTGAACGAACGTTGGACACTTCAGTTAAAAAAGAAATAATAATAATAATAAACTGTATGGTCCCGCCTTCTCCGCCATCCCCTCCAACGCCTCTTTGAACCACCAAAATGCCTCTCACCTTCCACTTCCCAATTTAACCACCACCCCTCCTTTCACTTCCCAGTTCACGAGAAAATACAGCACCAATTTCACCAACTTGTCGTTGAATGCACGTGTCGCCGCCGCGGACCGGGCGCTGCAGGAGCTCTCGGTCCAGATGGAGCGCGAAAGGCAACGCGAGAAAGAGGAGAGGCAGAAGGTGGGCCTGGATGCTGCCGATATTGACGCCGATTACGATGAGGATTACATGGGCGTGGATTCGATTATTGAGAAATTGGATAAACAAAAGCTGAAAGGGGAGAGCTCGGAGCTGAACAGGTACGAGGAGGCTACTGATTTCTGTTATGGTGTTGGGGTGCTAGTACTTTCCATTTCTTGATTTCTGTTGCCCCTTTCCTACCCTGCATTTTCTGTTTTAATTACTTTTGATAAAGGAAAGATTAGTTATGATTCGTGATTGTACCTTACAAGAAAATGATTAGGATTTTAAGTTGGTTTCATATGCCGATTATTTATACTTGGTTTTTGAATACCTGTTTTTATTTAGAGTAATTGTGTTTGGAGAATTAGAATGTATTTCACGAGAAGTTTCATCAGAGTACAAAGCTAACCTTTTCCATGAACGCGTAAATAATGTATGAAATCTCATGAAAGAGATCCAAAAAACTTACTAGTGTGATAAAAGGTTCTTTGTCCTCAGGCGTTATAGTGAGAGTACAAAGCCCTTGGTTTGTTAATCTTTTCCATGAAAGCATAAATAATTGTATGAAATCTCATGAAAGATATCCAAAAAAACTTACTAGTGCAATAAAAGCGTTTTTTGTTCTCAGGCGTTATTGTGACAAGTGAATAAAATTCTTGTTATTTTGTAATGAATGTGATTGCAGGACTTGTTCCCTGCAATAAGATTTTCAGTACAAAATACTAGATATTGTGAACTGGGCTTTAGTTTCTGAATGATATACTACAGCATGAATTGTCAAGGAGTGCACTATGAACTATTAGTGGGTTATGTTTCATTGTTTTGCAATTTAAACATTTTCTTCTCTTCTTTGTTTTGGTATTATATACATCTATTTAACTTCATAGATTTGAGCAGAGACTCTTGATGATGCATTCAAGTGGATGAATAAAATTGACAAGTTTGAGGACAAGCATTTTCACCTGAGGATGGAGTACCGTGTTATTGGTGAGTTGATGAAGAGGCTAAAAGTAGCTGAAGGGAAGGAAAAATTTCTTCTTCAGGTGAAGTTGAATAGGGCCATGAGGATGGTAGAATGGAAGGAAGCATATGATCCAAATGATCCCACCAATTATGGAGTCATCCAGAATGATCAGTTAGGATCTTCCGTTGATCTTCTGCAGCATGCTGGGTTCGAAAGGGAGCAGCGGTTGATACAAGGTGGAGAGGGTGATGAGGACTTAGAGTTTGATGACATGAAGGAGAAGGATACTATAATAATGGAAAAGCTTAATGAATTAGACAAGATACTTGAGCAGAAGCTATTGGCATTGGATCACACCTTTGGAAAGAAAGGGAAGCTTCTGGAGGAAGAAATTAGAGATCTTGCTGAGGAAAGGAACTCATTGACTGAGAAGAAGAGGACACCTCTGTACAGGAAAGTATGTGGATGCCTATTCTGCCTTTCTTAATATACTAATGACTGACTTGAGCCTTCTAAGCAATTTTTTACTAAAACTAAATGATTATTTCCTTACCATTTTTCTCTTGAAAATTTGATTACAACGTGACATAACTGCTGTTATTTTTCGATAAAATCAGTGTTTGAGAAGTAGATTTCTTTCATGTCACATAAAGATAATTGTGTCCTACAAGGCTGCTAACCTCTGTGAAACTTTGGCCAATATTTCTGCTTCACCATCATATATATGCTACCATACAATGGATACATATCCTGGGTTGATGAGCTTTAATTTGATATCTGATTATTACGGGCTCATTCTGCTCTCATGTTAGCATTACTTTGTGGGGTTCTTTTAACTTCCATCAAACCATCACTGTCAATATTGGTTATGCTTTTTGGCTTCTCACGAATCATCTTTTTCCTTCATTTCAATGAGCACGATCATCTGTACTGTTTTACTCACCGTGAAGCCAATAGTTGACTGTGTCTGTGCTCAATGATTTCAGGGTTTTGATGTGAAACTCATTGATGTCAATAGAACGTGTAAGGTTACAAAGGTAATATAATCTCTATGTTGAACTCTCTCTCCCCCCTCTCTCTCTGTGCTTTGAAGAACTTAATAATTATGCTATTTATGAATGATACAGGGAGGTCAAGTTGTCAAGTACACTGCGATGCTAGCTTGTGGTAACTATCACGGTGTTGTTGGATTTGCAAAAGCAAAAGGTCCATCGATTCCTATTGCTCTTCAAAAGGTATCATGCTGGTATTTGCGAAAATTTCTCTGTTGAAAATGGAATCAGTTGATCTCATGGTTAACTAGTGAAAGAAGTTCCATTGCTGCTTGATGAATGAGTAAGACTTGAGTAGTTGACGTGTGTGTGTAAAAATATCCAATTAACTAATTTTGTTTCAAATATGTACCATAGGATCTTTCTATTGTGTGAAGACAATTTGTATGTTAAGAGTGCCTCTAAATTATCTGGTTACTCATGCTAACTACTTTTCGAATATATTTTTGATTCCTTGGGATCTCTTACTCATATTATTGTGTTTTTTTACTAATTCATTTTCTGACAGGCCTATGAGAAATGTTTTCAGAATCTCCATTATGTTGAACGGCATGAGGAGCATACAATTGCACATGCAGTCCAGACTTCATATAAAAAGACCAAGGTTCTATCTAATTTTTTTAGTTCCTTGAGCTTGTTCTAACGGAGAAGGAAAATTAAAGCTAAAAGAATTTTCATTTCTTCTTGTTACCCAAATATTGTATCGACTTTTAGGTGTATCTTTGGCCTGCATCCACTCAAACAGGGATGAAAGCAGGCAGAACTGTCCAAACAATTCTCAATTTGGCAGGTTTCAAAAATGTGAAATCAAAGGTAAAATAAAAAAAAATTAAATGTCCTGTGACCTGCAAAATTGGTTTCTAAATTCAGGATGTCTTAACTTGTGTACTCTTATAGGTCATCGGTTCAAGGAATCCTCATAACACAGTCAAGGCTATTTTTAAGGCTCTAAATGCAGTATGTAGAATAAACTACTCGTTCTAAAGGCTAACTATTTTGTATATTTGATTTAACTCGCGATGTTTGCATTTTGTTTTCATTTACAGATTGAAACTCCCAAAGATGTTCAAGAAAAGTTTGGACGAACTGTTGTCGAATCATATTTACTATGAAGGTGCGTTTTAAGACCCCACATTTCTCCTGAATGTGAAAGAGGGCTAGTCTAGTACGTGAAATAAGAGAAGTATAAAAACATTATTTCACTGTTGTACTTTCCTTGACTCCTATATATGTTTTTGCTATAATTATTCCTCAATATTCTGTATTCTGGTAATGTTTGCAATTTTTTGAAAAAGGAACCGTAAGTTTGCCCCAATTTGAATTTCCTTAGAGATCTACCTATCAATTGATGCGCTTATAAATTTTCTTTTTTGCAGGTTTAATAAAGGACACGCCCTGTCTTCTCTCGGGAGGTGCTATTCCCGGTAGAGGCCAATGGGATATGCTGTAGAGTTCCGCTTTGCACGGAAACAAATGTAAATGGGACAGCCATGGAAGCAAAGATGCTACGGAAATCTCGCTTATCATTGGGAAACTGAAAAGGCAGGAAGTCCACTAGGATACAACAGAGAGGCTTTAAGGAATTAAAATTCTTAATTTTCAAATGCCCAAATGCTGGAGTTAATATTTGAGTTTGGAGTTTGTTTCAGTTGTATTGTTACTCATAGATATGCCTTTTTGTGCGAATTTTTCAAATTTTTGAGAATTCATTTTATATAGTTTCCGTGGATATAAAATAAAATTAATGATTATTAAAAATGTGATCGTTGGATTTTCCTTTGGATGTGTTTTAATGAGTTATGCCTGTGGAAGTGGAACTGCTGTATGAGATTATTGTACGACGAATTTTTGCGTATACAAGATGATCCCCCAACTATACATATACGGATAAAAACTACATCTATCGACTACGCACTATGTATTACTTGCAAAAGAAGTCCTCTAGTCTTCGGAAAAACAGTCCAAACCCGAGCCTTACCGTTTCCATCCTAGAAGCGCATTTTTCGGCTTCCCTACATCATAT